CAAAATGTTCATTTTTGACAAAATGTTCATTTTTGACAAAATGTTCATTTTTGACAAAATGTTCATTTTTGACAAAATGTTCATTTTTGACAAAATGTTCATTTTTGACAAAATGGCGGCCGGTCGAAGTTCAAAATGGCGGAAATTTGGCATCTCTGTTGTTTATAGACGGATTGGTGTGAAATTCGGAATCCTAGGGTTTTTCAAGATGAGAAAAACGATTCTGGCATTGATTTTCCAGAAAAGTCAGTCCTTTTCAAAATGGCGGCGGTCAAAATGGCGGCCTCGAGCGGGAAGTGGATATTTGGGCTGCATATCGTTGGATTTGCATGAAACTTGGTATCTGGGGGTATTTTGGCACGAAAAGAACGAATCTTTCATTGGATATCTGAAATTTTGACAAATTCCAAAATGGCGGCGGAAAAATTGCGGTAAATCAGTTTTACGGCTTTTTATCGATGGATTAGCATGAAATTATTTGATATTTCAAGAATCTAATGAAAGATTCCTTTTTATCCAGCCAAAAACCGCCAGGATATCGAATTTCATGCAAATCCATCGGTAAAGAGCCGTAAAACTGATTTACCGCAATTTTTCCGCCTCCATTTTGGAATTTGTCAAAATTTCAGATATCCAATGAAAGATTCGTTCTTTTCGTGCCGAAATACCCCCAGATACCAAGTTTCATGCAAATCCAACGATATGCAGCCCAAATATCCACTTCCCGCTCGAGGCCGCCATTTTGACCGCCGCCAGTTTGAAAAGGACTGACTTTTCTGGAAAATCAATGCCAGAATCGTTTTTCTCATCTTGAAAAATCCTAGAATTCCGAATTTCACACCAATCCGTCTATAAACAACAGAGATGCCAAATTTCCGCCATTTTGAACTTTGACCGGCCGCCATTTTGTCAAAAATGAACATTTTGACCTGCGGTTTGCGCCAAAAATTTCCTTTTTTTATTTCTTTCAAATGAGGTATCACAGAGGGGGGGTTGCTATTTGAAAAAAAAAAAGTTAGCCCCCGCCTCCTTAAGGGGAGCCGCCCCCCAAAATTTTAGGGGGACCAAAAAGTTGCTACCTTAGATCGAGGAACATTCCCAAAGTTTCAAACTTCTATCTCAATTTGGAAAAAAGTTACAGGGGTGGTCAAAGACTTTTGGATAACCCTGTATGCAGCCTTAAAAAAAATGCTTTTAAATGTTATGAAACAGTTTGTCACTGAGGAAGCTCTCTCCAATTTGTATGATCTTACTGAAATTGATCTAAATGAAGACAAAAATTTAATCCCTACCAAAAATATTAAGTTTCCGGGTCAAAGCTGCTTTCCGGAAAGTGGACAAATCCAAGTACAAAGATATTGATATTTTGAGTTTTAAAAAGGATGTTCGCCAATGTTTCAAAAGATCTTGCCTCAAACTATTGGATAAATGTCCTCTCAAATATCCAATAATCCGAGCTTTATCTTCCCTAGATCCTCTCATTGCTTGCAAAAAAACATTAGGTGCCAAAAGGTTTGAAAAGTTACTGAATATTTTAAATACCAATAATTGGATCGGAGATATTAAAGGAGAGAATGCATTGAATCAGTTC